ATATTTCACTGTCTTCTTATATAAAAATTTCTTATATTATTTATATACATGATTTTAAGAAAATGATTTCAGTTTCTTATTTTCCTTATTCTTATTATTATGAGGAATAAAACGGAATAAAGAATTAAAGAGAATTTTAAAAAGAAATTTAAGGAAACAAATAATTTAATTGTCATTTTCTATAGTGAAGTATTTTTTGTATTTATTATAAATAATCATAATACATTTTCAAATTTCAGGATGAAATTGATGGTGAAAGTAGAAACAATTTGACATTATTGTGGAATAATGAAGAAGAAAAGACAGAAGAAGTTACAGCATTGGTTTCTACAATAGAATTAGTAGATAACACATCTGAAACTCTTAATGATGGAAGTGGAGTTTCAAAGTTATCTGAAATTACTTCAAATATACCACCAAATTCAAAAAGTTTGACACATGATAGACAAACAGAAAATGAGTCTGATTCTACCATAAATCAAGTAGATAACAAACATACCTGTTTTAAAGAAATTGTACCATTTACAGAGAGTCAATTAGCATCATTATATATTAATCAGGAATTAGCATTGATTGACATGTTTATTTCGGAATTTACAGAAGTACAACTTAGGAGTATTACAATTAGGCAGCAACACAAATTGCATGAACTTTTAATGAATTATCTTCGTGTAAGAAATCATTTAATTATAAATTCTCATGAATTGGAAATTTTAAAAAAATCCTGTAGAGAAATGCAGAAAAAATTATGGTGTTTAGACAAAGCATGCATTAGAGAAACAGGAGAGTGTCAAGATGGAAATCCTGTTGTTGCTACACATGAATACTGTACTGCACGTTTCAATCAACAAGCTCTAGGTGCATTGGCTCGACATTTATCAACAATAAAAGATCTTTTACATAATACTCAAGCATTATATTGTTATGAAGCAGAAATGTTAAAATTACAAATTGAGTATTATATTCAAAGAGTATGCATATCTTGCAAAGAATTTACAAATCTTCCTCATAATGCACCTGTAAATTTATTACCAACACATGTCTCTTCACAATCGCTTCTACAATTAGTGGAACTTAGGATGTGCATAACTATATTGTTTAATTTTCAAAGAAAATTATTGAAAGATGGAAAGTTTATAACAGATACTAGAGAATGGCTTACAAGATTAATAGCAATTCTATTAAAAGTAGCAACTTGGCAAGATCATTTATTTTTATTGAATCATATCTTAAGATGTCCTGGTGGAGTAATGAATTGGGCACGCAGTTATGTTCAAACTCCAATACCACAACAGCAAGGTGAACTAGGTATATCTCCATTGGATGATATATATTTAAATCACATAATAGCTACATTGGCTGTTATTCTGTCACCCATTAAAGATAGAGATAAATTTCTTGAACAGGTATTTGAACTATATAATTTTGATAGCTATTAAGACATGTAATTACTTACACCAAATTAATTTGTATATTTAATAATTCACTTATTACTAAGTTATAATTGTCTAATAATAATTTACTAATAATAATTTATCAGGTACAAAAATCATTACAAGATACAGCATGTAGTCCAGGTGATACTGTTTGGGTAATGTTGGATGAAGAAGGAGAGGAAGATGAAGATATAGCTAATGTTGGTGCAAACCTATTTGAAAGTGACCTTATTTCTCTACTAACACAAATTCCGTTTAGTAAAGTATTTGAACAGGTGTTGTGTATCCAGTACCAAAATGATGGTTATTACCAAAACAAAACTTATATTACACATCACTACTTATTTCGGATGTTTGCGTTTTTTACAAGTATCATTAAACTTTTAAAAGAAGGTTTGAAAACATATGATTCTCCAAGATATAGACAATTAACTAAACGACTAAGTGCATTAATTAGGGATATTGTACAATATGCTAATGACCAGTGGGAGGAATTTGATAAAAACAAAGTAATATTATTGCATTATTAAGAATATTTTAATATAAATTTGAAATTATTTTTTATATAATTCTTAAATTTTGAATTTATAGATTACTGATGAATCAGTGTTGATGAAACTTCAACTTGAATTTGATTGCTTTTTACTAAGAGCAGTTTTGTACATATTTTCATCACGCCGTTTAGGTGCATGGCAATATTTAGCTTCTATTCCATATCATTTAATATCATCCAATACTTTGTGGCAAATATTTTACATTTTGCACACTGATTATACACAAATAAATACACATGTTTCTAATAGATGTGTTCATGGTATGTATAGTTTTGTAATAAGAGTAACATGGATGTTTATAAAATTGTACATAGTAATGATATAAAGTTTGATATCATATTAATAATATTAAAGATTGGATAAATGAATTAAATTCTTCACAACTTCGTGCAAAATTTGAAGAAAAATTAAGTAATATGCCAGGAGATGAGTCATATTTTCTTCTAACAACTTTTGCTAATATGGCTTTGTCAAGAACTGACAAAGATTATGATTTTGTAAAAACAACCACAATAGACTTATTTCAGGTATATATTATTGTTAGTATTATCTATGATTTTGAACGTAATAATAATTTTTTATATAAAAATTACAGTTAGGATTTCTTAGTGAAAAAACACAAGATTTATGCTCAAAAGATGCTCGATCTCTTTTATCAAGTTTAACGAATAAATATCCTTCACTGCTGTCAGATATCCTACAAAAGTTACGAGATAATTTTGTATCAGTAGGAAAGGTATAAAAAAACCTTATTACATTTCTTATTAATAAATATTTTTAAATTTAGCTTTATTAATTTTAGCTAAGTTTATATTTGTTTACTGACTTAAAATTACATAAATGGATACCTGATGAAAAAGACATTGTTATTCTTTCTACATGGTTGCATCAATATCCACTAACATCAACTGAGAACCATTTGGCCCGCTTAATCCTGACTCACTTAAATTGGGGGTTTGATGAGTAAGAAATAATTTTTCATTTATTTAAATTCTATTATTTTATAGAACCTATATATGTACAGATGGCAAGTCATTTAATATTGGACTCTGAACTTTTTTTATCTCTATTATTTTTTAAAAAAAGTAATACAATATAATGAAAGTATTAATTGATGTCCAAAATTTAGAACATAATTGTTAATTTGTACTTTGAAAGAAATATAATTTTTAATATGATTATTTCTTTAATAATTTTCGTTTTCATATTACATGATTTTGTTTATCTAATATAACAAAAATTTAATTTATATGTTTATTACAGAAATGGCAGTTTATATCTTCCTATTGATTTACATAGACGTATAGCAGTACTAACTGTTGAACTCACTATGAAATATGTACCTGATATTTCTGTCCAAAATACCTCTTTATTAGCAGAAGGTATTAAACAGGTATGATTTCAAAATTTTATATCAATATTTATTTAATAAAATCAATTTTAATTTAAATTAAAACGCGTAGGTTTCAACAATAATAAGGCCTCAAAATGCTGAACATATTTTTTCATTATGGGCATGGAATATGATTTCTAAACTGAGGTTACATCAACTCGATCAAACTGAAAAACTTTGTCGTTTTGCACTTTTGAACCCCACTGTAGCATTTGCTCATGTACCAGATATGGAGGTTGATACAAGTTTAGAAATTTTGGTTATTGGTACATTACAAAAGCAACCTATTGCATGCTATGTGGCAACAATTATGACATTATGGGGTCATTCTGTGCCCTTGATATATTCTAAAGGTTTCAGCCAATTAGAAATATTACAGTACCATTGTAAATATGAACAAGTGCTTATATGTTTACATCATATAATACCATTATTTTTGGAATGTGTTGATTCATTACTTAAAAGTGATAAATTTATTAGTCTTGTTATTTCTCTAATTTCGGCTGATAAATCCTATATGAAAATGGCTAAAAGTCTTATAGCCACTCAATTTCCAGGATCAATACTAAAGCAATTTTCAAATATGATACATTCACATTTATATAATTACAAAAGGTAATTAAACACATTTTGTTGCAACTTATTCAATATTAGTATCGAGCAACAATATTTTACTTATAAAATTACATAATTTGTTATAGATATGGATTGGAAACGCCAAAAGCATTTGTATATCTATGGTTAAGTACACTTGTACTTGTACCCGATTGGAATAAAGACCAAAGTGTTTTATTTTTAATGAATGTAGTTATTAGTGCAGCATTTTTTTATCCAGATGCAAAAGTAACAGTGGAGCACATGTTTCAAAATCTTTTCTCTGTAAGATGAACTTTTATTTGTTATTACAGTTTAAATTATATTAAGACAAATATTAAAATATTTTTTTATGAAACATTCAATAAATTAATTACATTAAATTTATTCTTTAAAAATGTTATATAATATTTAACTTATTTAAATTTAAATTTTACACTTGATTGAGATATTTCAATACTTTGTATTGACTGAGATAGTATGTCCTTTTTACTAGCTTGCCATAGAGGAAAGTAATGAGGTGCGATTTTTCTTTTTATTTAAAATATATGTTAATTTGTTTTTTAAAAACTAACTTAATTTCATTTATATTTTCATTAAAATAGAAATGGTATTTACATTATATATTCGTATTAAAATATCTTTAAATTTTTGTTATGATATACCAAAATTATAACTTAATTAATTATTTTCAGAATACATCTAATCACAATGCAATAACATCCTTTGGTTCATTTCTAAATTGGGCAACTGGTTCTTCAAATTCAATTAGTCTTTTAGGAAAATCTACTCAGTCAGTTTGGGTTGCTTATCAAGTGTTGTTAACTGAACAATATAATAGAGAAATTAAAACTGGGTTATGGCATGAAATTTTAAAGGAGTTGTCAGCACAGCCTAAAATATCATTAGATACTGCTATTAAGGTATATTTTATGTAATATTTTATATAATGTTTTTAAATTTTGTTTAGTATGAAATTTCTAATATTCTTTTAATAATATTCTAAGGTGAAATCTAATATTCTTGCAGCGAGCTTGTATGACTGTTAAAATACAACCATTTGGAGCAAATGGATTATCTATATATCGTTGGTCACAACAAGCATTAGATACACCTATAGAGCATCCTATTCTGTCTTTATTATGGCAAAATTTTTTTGCTTTATTTCTTGCAAGAGTTCCGACAACATCAGGGTTTGTTTTACAAAGATCAATTCTACATGTTAATTCTACATATTTTATATTTGCAGATGATAATGTAACTATTTTTTTAGAGTTGTTGATCATGGTGGAATTGGTGAAAAATTTTTTGAAGGCATGATTAATTTAAGTTATTTAAAAAAATTAAAAAAACGATTACACGATACTACTACATATTTCCAATTAAAAGGAGAAGGTGATTTAGATAATGGAAAACCAATCACTGATGATAAACGACTATTTTATTTTAATGCAGCAAAGTGGGTAATATTAAATGCGATAGATATGAAAATTGAAAAAAAAATACATTGTGGATCTGTATTTTTACAGATTTTATAAAACTTTAAGTTTGTGGCTTGAGGAACCAAGATTGCATGAACCAGGTCTTTATTTACCAGCATTACCTCCACAATACATGTCACAAAAATTAGTCCTACTTGTTCAAGATGATTGGGTAAATTTTAATTTATTTATTGCAAATATAAAGGATGGTAGAACATGCAGTACAACCAAGCAAGGGATGCTTGTATTTTTATGTTTATTTTTTTATGGAAAAATTTTATTATTCAGTTTTAGTTTATTTTTGTGTGTAAAGTCATGCCCTTCCTAGCTGTACAAATTCTTTTATATTTCGTATAAGATTTACAGAAAGCTCAGTTTTATACCATACCTTTCATGTTTGTTTAAATAGACACCATGGTTAGAATATATTGATTATTGGGCAATTCAACAAGATCAAATAATGGCAGTTCAAGAATGGGAGAATGTATGTTGTAGAAATCAAGGAAATTATTCCCAAACAGAAAAAAATGTATCAATCTTACCCTCTGAAATGGCTGCTCCATTGCAAAGAATATTTAAAAGATTGACTACATATGAGTATCCTGCTCCACCTCCAGTTTTAAATAGAAATCAAACAATTTTTAATTGCATACCTAAAGAGAATATATATAACTCTAATTTAGTAATTGATCACGTTAAACCATATCTTAAAATAATACTAGATTATGCACAAACATACAATTTAATGGTTTCTGAGCATATTGCCACAGATTCTAGTTTTTTGGAACTAGTACCTACTCTCTATAGAGAAAGTGAGATTCATGTAGTATTACATGCACTATGCGATCTAGCACCTCCAAATCAGAAAAACTCTAGATCAGGAACTCCACCTACTGTGCACTGTGCTGGTCCAGCAGTAATTACAGTTAAGGTAAGAATCATAATATCCTTCCGATTTCAAATAACTTTTTATAGTATGATAATATTTTAGGTACATGAAGCTCATATCAATGATGGTATTGACCACATGATAACTCAAAATAGAGCTGAATATGAAAATTTATTGATAAGGGCCAGTCAATCACCACCCAGCAAAGTTACTCAAGGATGTGTTTTTATAGATCATTTAATTGCGTGTGTATAATACATAGTACATCTTTTATGCTATAAATTAAAATTCATTCAAATGTAAATATTAATCAAATATGTAAATATCTTTTTATTCATTTTTAGAATGTTGGAACATGAAATAACTATAAATCAAACTAATGAAAACACAGTTGTATTATACAAAATTCAAGAAAGTGGAGTTAAATTATTTTACTATCTTATAGACTGTTATACAGAAGAAGCAGCATTGTGTCCACCAACAAAACAACTTATCACCACTTGTTTACAAAAATTAGGACAGGTAAATACAATTATAAAATTAATAGAAATATTTTTAATAGATATATTATTA